TTCTAGGGTCAATGGCTGGCACTGGGGGGGAGTGGGGATGTGGGGGGGCTCTAGGGGGTTAGGGCTGGCACTGGGAACTCTGGGGGCCGGGATTTTGGTGGACCAGTAGTGATTTGCATATTCCTCATTTACATAATGAATATGCAAATAAAATGCCACTGGTCCGCCAAAAAAAATTGTGAATGAGTTTGCTCATCCCCATCATCAAAAAGGTTGGGCACCACTGTACTAAGGGACACACCAGACTGACCTAGCCAGCTTCAGAAGTTCATTTCAGAGGCAATGAATAATGGAACACAAAGTGGTGAATTTCAATAAATTATTTTTCCATACTCCTCACCCTTTATGTAAGAGTTTCTCTCTGCAACCTCTGACCCATAGCAACTACAATAGTCTACATTATGTATTTATGATACAAACAGAACAGCTGTTTTTAATTTCAGAACAGTCTGGGTAACTGGAAACACCTTTTACTGACTTTTTTATTTTAGAAGACACAAGAAAAAGTGAATTTTTCTGAAAGAAAAAACTTCACCACACTGTTAAAAAACCTGCCTATAGTTATTAAATTATAATTCAGGATGAAATTGTTACAATGATCAAACCCAATTAAATTCTTAATGTCTGGGAATATGAAATGCAAACTTGATGCCCATGTATATAAAAAAAAAAACTTAATTGTGGGGATTTCAACTATTCCTATATTGACTGGGTACATGTCATGTCAGGACATGATGCAGAGATGAAGTTTCTTAGCATCTTATGGACTGCTTCTTTGAGAAGCTAGTCTTTGAACCCATAAGGGAGGGAGCAATTCTAGATTTAGCCCTAAGTGGAGACCAGGATCTGGTCCAAGAACTGAATATAGCTGGATTGCTTGGTAACGAGACCATAATAGCATTAAAATTTAACATCTCTGTGGCAGAGAAAACTCCACAACAGCCCAACATGATAGCATTTAATTTCAGAAAGGGGAAAATACACATACATGAAGTTAATTAAACGAAAGTTAAAAGATACAGTGCCAAAAGTGAAATCACCTACAAGCTGCATAGAAACTTTGAAGACATCATAATAGAGGCTCAACTTAAATGTACCTCCCAAATTAAAAAACAGAGAACCAAAAAAGTGCCAGCATGGCTAAATAAAATAAAAGAAGCAGTCAGAGGCAAAAAGAAATACTTTAAAAAGTGTA